AACTGCACTATCGCTTCAAGCAGGAGGAAGAGATTGGTCGTGTCATGCACCTTGTGTCAGAACTTGTTTGTGACTTTTTCATCAAGGTGCTTCCCAAGTGGGTTCTTGACCACTCAATCTTGTGGGAAGAGTTATGATTTTGGATCCAGACACAAATCTCCCAGCTTACAAGACTTCAGAGGCCGCCTTACAAGCAGAAAGGAATCCAGAGAAGTATCATACACATTTTGCTATGAACTTCAAGAAATTCCGTTTTTCTGCAAGGATTGTGCGGTATTTGATTGACCGTGACAGGAATCATTTAGAGAGTTTTCTTCACAACTCCAACAGTAGATTTGTGCAACATGCATGCTATCAACTTCGTGAGTATGTTCAGGCGCGTGTTGCAGTTTCTGATCCCTTGTATGAGATGATCAAGAAGGAAGAGTTTGAACGCCAATACAATTCCAAGTTTTTGGAGGCGATTTCTTGCTCTCGTGTTGTAGTTGAGCCTGTAAGTTCAGGGACGTATGAGCCATCATCGAAGCTGAACTTAAAGGTACTACAAGACATCCTGAAGGGTATCTTCAAGATCCAGAAGGATGAGGAGCTTGCCAAGGAACGTGATGAAGAAGAAGAACAGGCAGCTCAAAACATCTCATACCTGTTGGCAGATGATATGGAGCTTGATTTTGATGATGATGATGTTCCCGTATGGCGCTCCATTGTCGACAAGTATAGAGGAGGTGATCAGGTGCTACAGGGAGAAGCTGTGAAGATTACTCACCTGTTCAGGGATCAAAAGGACAATGAGAAGGCGACAGAAGCTTTCAGTTCAGAGAGGACAGATTTTTATGAGACCTCAGGACCTCTTCCAAGAACCGAGGGAGAAAATCTTGTAGAGGACTTGCTCACCAAGGATGTTGCAGAACAAGCTTTTGAAGCAGGTGAAGAAGTTCCTCCTTATACAAGAGTCTCCACTATCGCTGGTGAAGTCTATACTGGAAGTAGGACACTTCTAGAAGATGAGAATATGGAAGAGGAAGTTCCTGAAGAAGATCCTGCAGTTGAACCTGGAAAGGAACAAGAAATATTTGATGAAGATGCAGGTGTTTTTCCTTCAGAGGAACTAAAGATGGAAGTGGACCAGGAGGAAGCCAAGGAAGAGTCAACACCACACTTTCTGTCAAGAGAGATAGGTGAGGACTCGACTGCATCGCACTTACCATCAGGTGAGATGGATGCTAACCTTGATGATACTTCAGGTCAGCGGAAATCTAAGAAGAGCCGCCTGAATAAGATTCCTGATCCTCATTTTCATGAAGAAGTTCAGGATGATGCAACCATGGAAGAGAAGAAAGAGGCGGTGGAGAAAATAAAAGAGGTCAGAGAGGATGATGGAGAGAAGAAATTGGAGGCTGAAATCCAAGAATCTTTTCCATCTGAAGTAGTTGTTGAAAAGGATACAACAAAAGTTGACAATACCTATGAGTTGCACACTTCACCTTTAAAGTTGCTTGGAGAGCTTACAGGAGATCCAGGTATTGGCTTTTATCAACTATGCTTCAGGGAAACTCATGCAAGATTGCTGAATCATGTTTGTTTCAGAAAAGGTGAGATTTCCCATCCTCATTATCAGTCAAGGATCAACGAGAATGATTTTGTTCGATCCATTCGCAATATCTGTCCAGTACCTCCACCTGATTGTTATGAACATGAACCAGAGCATGATTTGAAGAGATTGTTCATCAATGATGACCGCATCATTTATTTGGATGGCAGGTATCAGGTCGATCCAAAGGCCCTTGAAAGGGCAGGTCATGCTCGAGAAGAATTGGAGGATACGAAAAAGGAACTCAAGAAGGAACTGGAATCATATGGTCCCAAGGGACCCAGTTGGGACTTTGTCACCTTCTATGAAGAGCTGTGCAGAAGGTTCCTCAAGGGAAGAATAGAAGAACCATATGGAACTAATTTATTGGCCAGCTCAGAGTCCTTGACATTTCTATCCTGGAACTATGGCAACATGGTTCGTGGTCAGAAGTACACCACACCAAGGTTTCTCCAAGGACTTGATAGTGCAATGAGGCCACGCAAACAGAGCGCCATGTCACTTCAGAATGAGCAATTTGAGAACAACCTTTTCTTCAACATGCTCTTCTTTTTACGTGCACATGTCGTGATTCTCCAGGAAGCTCATCTTCTTGTTCCTGCCAAGGAATTTATTGAGCAAAAGAATTGGACAGTTTGTTTCAATGATTGGGAGAATCTTGCAGTGATGGCTAGATTGGCACCAGGTGGATATGTCAAGATCATTGCTGGACATGACCAAGATCTTGGTCACTGTGAACAGCGTGATGTAACTTGGGCTATCTACGAGATTTGTTTTGGAGAAACAAGGCCTCGTCAAGATTTCAAGGATGCAGACTTTGAATTTGATGACTATGGTCCTGAGGACAAGCGTGTTCCACTTACTCGAGCGAACATGCATACCATCAGAGTCTGTAATTATCATGTTGATACACACCGTGCTGTGGATGCCCACCTACTGACAGGAGAACAGACAGCATTGATGCTTTACGAGTGTTTTGTCTATGAGGTGGACATCATTTCTGGTGATGCAAATAGTTTGGCCTACAGAATGTCTGGGTACAAAAGGCAGCCAATGGCTAACTACTATTACAGCACCATGCAGCATTGGATCCGCAGGTTTTCAGAAGCTCGTGTCAAAGCAGATCCTGGTATCAAAGCACCTATTCCCAGAACATTTTACAGTTCTACTTCACAGGTCCTCAAGAAGTGTGAAGTTTACTTTGATAAACTCTGGGAAGAATACTCTACTGTTGAAAAAGAAGAATACCAAGGATCACAGCTTGGCGATACATGTTTGTCTACCATTGTTGAATGGGGTCATTCAATGAGTGAAGAGGAATATGAAAATTCCACAGTGAGTACGAAGGAGTTCATCTGTAATTTTTCAGAGAACTTTGCTATGATTGACACGGAGGTTATGTGCTCAAGGCCCACTGACGAGGACAGTCATGGTCCAATGTTTATTTCACTCAGACCAGCTTCCTTTTCATCTGGAGATAGAAGACAGTATCGCATGGGAGCAACGCTTCATGAGGCGAACGTGCGGAGGAAGGAGAGACAGAAGCAGAATAGAAAGAAAGGAAGGCCGCCAACTTCTGATCAAGCAACTTCACCGTTTGCAGCGGCATAATTCCTGAGCGAAGGCTGAGATTTAAATGATGGCTAGGAAGTGAAGAGACTTCTGGTTACAGTTGATACTTTGCTTCCAGGCTTGACTTTAAGTTGCCAGGCTGAAGTTTTAATAAATTCTGGTTTGCAATGAGGAGAAACTTTTTATCAAAGAAGATACTCCTGCATTCCAGGTTTATATGCTTTAGCATGTAGATAGGTATGGACAGTTTTACAGAACTGATGATATCTATCACCACCGCTCTTATGAAGTGACCTCTAATGGACAACCAGTCATGGTTGATGATTAAGTCATTTCATGATTTGCAATTGTAGTGCAAGATTTTTGTACATACATTTGCCGGTATCTCCTTCTTGTGTTTTGATGTGAATGTGAAAGAGAGTCCTTTTGATGCAGTTTATTTTGTCTGTGAATGAAAGCGGTCGAGACCACGTCACGAGAAGATTATTCCGTACGCTCCTTGCATTTTGCAAGGCATCTTAATTCATTGCAATTTGTGCGGTCTTGAATTTTTAGTTCTTTGTTACGCGAGTGTCGTTTGATTCTTTTATAGGTCTCTGTAGAGAAAAAGCCGCTTCCCTTTTAGTTTGATTTAGCTCAGGCCATAAAGAGCTAGTGAGCGCCGGTACATGGTATCTCCGCCTGCGAAAAGTACAGTCTCCAGCCGAGGTACATTATCGATTTGATTTTGTACTTGAGGTGAGTCAGCTATTGCTCCCTCACTGTATTTAGTAGCTATGAGATTACCTTCTCCAAAGTGTGAAACACACTGGATTAGGTAAGTACATGGCACCATAGTTTTCTTTTAAGTTGTCAGAGCTAGCTGGACTGTTTTAGCCTTGCAGTAGAAAAAGAGTATGCGACATACGCAATCAGCTAGAAGTGGACATGAATCTTGTGCCTGCTGAAAAGTAGAGCCTACCTGTACAGGGTTCCACTCCAACAGCTGAT